ACGGATTTCTGCTTAGTTCCTGCAAATTCTGTGCACCTTGGTCACAGCCCTCCTTTCTGTCTTTCTCCCAGCCCTGCTGTCCAGTCAGGCCCCCCTAAACCCTGTCCAGATTGAGGAGAAGCTGGTGCCCCCACCTGTGATCCAGTCTGACACAGAGGTGGAGAAGCAGCTGATCCGGGAGGTGAGAACCGGGGGAGGTGGGAGAAAGGCAAGCAGGGGGTGCCCAGGAGGAGAGCATCTGCTGAACGATATCATTTTACCCCCACCAGCATCGTGGGGTTGGTACAACAGTCTCCTTTTTGGAGCTCAGAAAGCTGAGGCTCGGGGAGGGGCCATGACTCGCCCAAGGTCACATGGCTAAGGAGAGTCTGAGCTGGGGTTTGAACTCAGGTCCTGACTCCAGGATGCAGCCCATCCCCCATCAGGGCCTGCATGGGGAGCACAAGGAGGGGTGTGGGACATCTGCAGGGGTGCTGTCTCTCTTCCGTACTGTAGGACGGGATGACTGTGGGTTGATGGAAATGGAGGCCTTCCTGGTGGTGGGAACGGCCTGTGCTGGGCTGGGGTGGGGGTGTGGGGAGAGTGGAAGGAGTTGGTCCCCAGTACAGGTGCCAACAAGCCAGAGACTGAGAGCCAGGTGGCCTGGTGGGCAGTGGGGAGCCCCCAGGCATCCATTTGACCAGTGGATAAGTGGGGTGTTGGCCTCCCAGAGAAAGCTGTCACCTGGGGACCCCTCCTCCTCCCCCATGTGTGCCTTCCAGCATCTCTGGGAACCAGCAGGGCAGGTAATAATACCCTGACTTACAGATACAGAGCTGATCCCTAGAGGGGGGCTTACACAGCCAGACTCGGCAGAGCCCCTAACTCCCAGCTTAGGCTCCATCCCGACTCCAGGCCCTACTGGTTTCTGGAGATTCCTGCCATTTGAGGGCCCCATTCAGATACCTGCGCATGGGGTGGGACACTGGCTTTTTCCTGGTGGAGAAGGAACGCCAGGCTGAGACAGCTCTGCAGGGACTGGGTCCCTGGATGTGTCCGCAGCTGGGCCTCTACCCCTCAACTATAAACTCAGCTATAAGCCCTGGGGCCCTTGGGAGCCCTGGTGAGGTTGTGGGGGTTTGGGGCCCAGCCTCTGCGGGGGACAGACTGGGTAAGGCCTGGGAGTCTGAGTCATGTGGGCTGGAGGGCTGGGAGAAATCAGCCAGAGTCCCCAAGGGCTGCCCATGACAGGCAGAGGCTTTTACTGTTTGGGGGGAGGCTCAGTTGTGGCCCCCAGATGGACTTTGTCAAGGGGCTCTGCTCCTTGCCGCCTTGGAGGCTCCTGGGGTGGGGCCGACGTCAGGTCCATCTCTGGAGCCCTGGACCCGGCTCCTGGGGAGGCATGGGGTGGGGGCCTATTGGGGATGGCTGAGCCACAGAATGAGAGGAATCACATGGGTTCAGAGTGGGTTTTGGAATCATGTAGCAACAAGTGACATCAATCACAAAACAGTAGGGCTGGGAGGGTTGGCCGGGGGCTGGGATGGAAGCTTCCCCCCAAAGGGAGCCTGGTGGGGTGGGGCAGGCACCCTCGCCCAGGGGCAGGATGCCGCCATCCCCTCTGGGGCACCAGAGAGGAGACTCTGCTCCGGGCTGGCTGCCCCAAGGAGCCAGTGATTGGCAGGTCCTTCTGCCCCGGGGATGGTGGTTGCTGGCCTTGTCGTCACGAGATAGGCCCTGTGGCCACTGCCTCCGAGCACTACCACCTGTCCACCACCGAGTGTCCTCTCAGGCCCTGGTGGTTCTTCTGTGAGCCACACTGGGAAGAAGAGTCGAAGGTGTCTGTCTTCCCTCTCGCCTTCTTTCCCATTTCACTTATGACCCACTCATATTTATTGAGCACCTACTATGTGCCTCGAACCGTGCTTTCCTTTCCCATCCAGAACCAGTCAGGACACTCAGGATGAGGGGGTGGTCCCTGTGTGGGGTGGCGAGGGCACTGGGCCAGGGATGGGCTCCGTCACGAGCGGGAGCTGTGACTCTGTGGGCTTCAGTCTCCTGGCTGCACCAGGGAAGGGGGGGATTTGGACCAGAAGATTCCTAGGGTCCATCCAGCTTTTCCATTCTGCAAGTCCAGTTCTTGGTGGGCTCTGTGCCCTGGGATGGGCTGTTTCAGCTCGTGGAGCCTGTTTTCTCATCTCCAGGAAGCTTTCCCTTGACCGTGGGAAGGGGAGCTGAGGGGTGCCTTCTCACCGTTGGGCTGTGGAACTGGCCTCAAGCAGGACTCGGGGGGGCTGGGTTTGCAAGCATTTCCTGAGCCTCTGCTGGCTCCGGGCCCTATAGCTGGGGGTGCACAGGGGGCCATGGGAGAGTTGTTCTGTTTCGAGTATTGGGCACATTTTGTAACTGCTGGGGATGATCTAGCACAGAGAGAAGCCCCTGCTACAGGAGGGAGATGGGGATGGAAAGAGCAAAGTCATGGAGCGGGTGGCTTGGCTTCACAGGGTCTGTCCCCTGTCACAGGAGGATGAAGAGCTTTCGGGCAGACCTGCAGGTGGACGGGAAGGTGTGGGCTGGGATGGTGAGGGCATACTTCAGTGTTCTCTGGGAAGCAGGAGATGGGAAATGGGAGAGGTGGAGGGTTGCAGAGGGAGGTAGAGCAGAAGGACCCAGGAGGGGCGCTGGGCAGCTTAAGAGGTCCTCTGTGGTTCAGGGTCACACATGTACAACTGGGTCTGGAAGTTGGTACTGCTGTATGTGTGCATGTGTGTGTATGTGTGTGCACACGTGTGCTCACGTGTGTGCTCGTATGCATGTGTGCACGTGTGTGCACGCGTGTGCTCGTATGCACGCGCACTCGTGTGTGTGTGCGCGTGTGCATGTATGCGTGTGTGCGTGCGCTTGTACGCATGTGTGTGCACGTATGCGTGTGTGTGCACGTATGCATGTGTCTCCAGCCAGGTCTCGCTGGTGTGCAGGTGTGACGAGACTGAGGCCTGGGTGCCACTGGGGCCGGGCAGCGCTGGCAGGGAATTGTGGAGGGGGCAGGGTGGGAGTCAGGGGTGCTTGCTGAGTATAGGGCAGGGCCCGAGTCCCCACTGGGGAGGAGAGGAAGCCAGGGCAGGGGGGTGGGGGACAGTGAGAAAGCAGATGGGGTGTAGGAGGTCTCCTGTGTCCACTGGAGAGCTGCATGGTTCTGGGCAAGTCACCTCCCTGGGCCCCAGTAACCCTACGTATTGCCCTGAGGCTCAAATGCGTCTCAAATGTGTCACAGAATGTACAGTCACATATTAATGATTCTCTATCCCCTTCTGTCCCTCCCCGAGAGCCCAGGTCATAGTGTCTGTGCCGTTGTAGAACTCTGGGCTTGTTCTGTGCTTCTGGAAGGGTCCTAATGAGGTGGGCGTGTGCACAGGGGCTCTCCCTCCCCTCCCCCTGTCCGGTCTGGCTGGCTCTCTCAGGGCGGCTCCACGACACAGAAGGTCTTGTACTGTCCTTAGCACGTAGCCCTGGCCCCGCCTGTGGGAGCCGTGCGTCAGAAGCCTGAGTGGTCCGGTTGTCCTTTCGGCCAGTGGTCAGCTCCAGGCACTTGTGGACTCAGGAGTTTCCCCTGAGCCCCTCCCTCCTCTGTGCTGGGCGCCGAGCTGCAGGAGGGGACGGTGCTATCTGAGAGGGTGGTCAGGGAGGGCCGCTTGGAGGGGGTGTTACTGAGCTGAGGCCTGAAGGAAGAGCTTGATGGGGGGCGAGGGTAAAGCCCCTGAGGCAGGGGGACATAGGCTGTCAAGGAGTGGAAAGTAGCCTGTGTGTCCAATGTGGCAAAAATGAGGTATATCCACAGGGTGGGCCGTCCAGATTTCTGGAGACTCAGTCAAGTCAAGAGGCGTAGATTTTGTCCTGAAACATAGGAAGCCATTGAAACATGGTCTAGGGGCCCCTGGGTGGCTCAGTCGGTTGGACGTCCGACTCTTGATTTCGGCTCAGGTCATGCTCTCAGGGTCCTGGGATCGAGCCTCACAGCTAGGCTCTGTACTCAGTGGGGAGCCTGCAGGAGATTATGTCCCTCTCCCTCCCCCCTCTCCCCTTCCTCCTCTCTCGCTCTCTCTCTCTCAGATGAATAAATCAAATCTTTTAAAAAATGTAGATAAAATTCAGAAGGGCCTTCACCAGGCAATTTTGTCCCCGTGTTGTGTAGGTAATTTTAACTTTGTTCTTTTGGCTTATTGGTATTCCCCACGTTGTTTGAATGACAGAGAAGGCGAACTGAAAGCCGCCTTGGGGAGTGGTGGTCTGACGCTGCCCCCCCATCCCGTGTCCCCCCCACTCCCAGGAGTACGAGGAGCGCCTGGCCCGGCTGAGGGCCGACTATGAGGCGGAGCAGGAGTCCAGGGCCCGGCTGGAGGAGGACATCACTGCCATGCGCAACTCCTACGACGTGAAGCTGTCCACGCTGGAGGAGAACCTGCGGAAGGAGACAGGTGGGCGCCTGGCCCGGGCTGTCGGGACGGTGGCCAGCTGGCTCCCCTCCCCATTTTACTAACTGACGTTTATAGAGCATCTTCCTGTGCACCAGGCTCAGTTCTAGGTACTCCTCAGTACAGCCCAGCAAGGTAGGTACCACCATGAGCCTCATTTTATAGGTAAGGAACCTGAAGCACAGACAGGGTGAGTAATTTGTCCGCGGTCACACAGCTGGTGAAGTGGGTCAGGATTGGAACCCAGCCAGTGTTCTGGCCCACCCAGCATTGTGTCTGTGAAGCCGGTGGCCCCGGCTGGGCCCTAATCCAAGGCGGACTTAGCATTACAACGTATCACCCATATGTCATGGGTAAGTTCCTTCCCCCCGTTTCTGCATTTTCTAGTCTCCTCCCATTTTTGAGCCCCTCTGTTACCAAAGCAACCACATCCCAAAATAAGGATTCAATTATTAGCAAGGACTTTCACCTTGCTAAAGATTTTTGTTGTCTTTTTGACATTCTAGAACGTTCCACCCTACCACTATCATCCAAACACCTGTGCTGCCAGGCAGCTCAGACTTCCTAGCGCTCACCAAAATACTATAAAAGCCACCTTGTAATGAGGACGATATTGGTCACATCGTGGGTGCCATTTATTGGGCATTGCTGTGTGGCAGGTGCTAGGTGCTAGGTACTCCATCAGTGAGTGAGGACGTACTGAATCCTCACATTGCCAGCGTGCCAACTGAGGCTTGAAGAGCTTCCGGCCGCTGAGCTGGGGAGTGGATGTCCCTAGCAAAGGGAACATCAGGACTCTCTCAGGGGAGCCCAGGACACAGTGACAAAGAAGTGGGTGGAGGTAAAGCCCATGAGCTGGGAGCCCTAAGGAGGCCTGTGGGATTGCGGTCTCGTCCACACTGGCAGACCCAGAGGAGAGGGGAGGGCAGGTTCTAGCATGTTCTGTCCTTCAGAGTGTTCCCCCAGTCCAGTTTGAATATTAGGCCTCCAAGTGGTTTTATTTGATCTAACAATCATCCGCAGTGTTCATTTAACTCCCATGGATCTAGCATTTTTTGTGGGTGAGAGCCCTGAGCAGGACACCCTGTGGGGGCCCCTCGGGGTCTCGGGTGTGAAGTTTGCTTGCTCATGGGGAGCTCTCGGCCTTGAAGGCCATGAGACCCACAGGGCAGTCACCTTCTGTGTGGAGAGCAGCCCGAAGGCAACTAATGGCTGGAGAGGTCGGAGGATGGAGAGCTCCTGGTGCTGGTCAGGGAAGACTTCCTGGAAGAGGAGGAAGGAGACGGGGTCTGAGTTCTGATAGAGGAGAGGGCAGAGGTGGGAGGCCAGTATTTGGGGGCCTGGGAGGCTCTGGCTCTTAAGCCCGTCCCTTAGAGATGGTGTGTTTGGGGCTGACCCCCAGGGGTTCACTCGTCCTCCACTGTAAGGAGCTAAAGGGAGTCTCCATTTGCAGAGGCTGTCCTCAAGGCAGAGGTCCTCAAGGCGCAGGGCACATCCAGGCCCGAGTTTGCCAACAGGTCTGAGTGCTCCCCCACGTTCCACTCCGAGATGGCCGTGACACCCGGGATCCACTCCATGCCGCACACCCTGCCCGGCGGGGCTGTCTCCAAGACTGAGCTTTCTCCTGGATTCGAGATGCTGCCTGTGGCGGAGACTTCCAAGTCTGAGGTGTCTCTGGGGTCTGATGAGTCTTCCACGCTCGAGGAAACCTCCATGTCCGAGGCCTGCCCAGGGCCCCAGGAGCCTTCCGACGTGGAGTTCTCCATGCCCGAGGCGGAGGCCCAGAGCAGCTACCTCCCAGAACCGCACCTCAGCCCGGAGGCCACGGAAGCCCTGCCGCAGGCTGGACCCGTCGAGCTGGCAGCCCTGGGTCTGTTGCCCAGCCTGCATGACCCGTTTGCCGAGGTGGAAGCCAAGCTGGCCAGGCTCTCCTCCACAGTGGCCGGGGCCGAGGCCCTCCAGGCTGGCGCACCCAGGCTCTGCACACAGGTAGCCGGTGCCATGCCAAGAGTCAGCAGGCAGAACTCGGCTGGGGGCACTCAGGCCACTGGGTGCGCACCCAGTTCTCACCGTCTGTGCGGGGGGGGCTCCGGCTTCGTAGCCGGAGAAGCCCTGTCTCGTGCTCCGGACGTCGGGAGGGAAGGGGGGATGGAGATAGGAGGCTTTGCCAGGTGGGCACCTGTTCTGCTAATGGAGGGACACCCATTTGGGGGGTTGGCTGAGTTGCCATGGTTACACCAAGCTTCCAGGCCCGAATGAAGGAGCCGGAGGAGGCTGGGGGCTGCGGGAAGGCTGCTCCCTTTCAGGAGCAGCTGCCCCCCCCCCCGGCCCCGACCCCGGGTTCCTGCCACTTTCCTGGATGCCTTCTCTCCTTTCCACTCTCTTGTGTGGTTTAAATTCTCTTCCCCCTCTCTTCCGCTTGTTTCCTTCCTTTTCCTTTCCTTTCCTTGTGTGGGAAGAGCCTTTGAGCCGGACACACCCGGGTTAAATCCCAGCTCTACCACTCACGTAGTTGTGGGACCTCGGGCAGTCACCTTTCTGGGCCTCGGTCTCCTCTTCTCTAAAATGGGGGTGCCGACACTGCGTGCTTCACCTGAGGTAATGCGATGCTCCTGGAGCACGCTCCCTCCCCGGTTCTCTCTTCCCTGTTCTCTTCTCTCCTCGCCCCTGCTCCCCACCGGTCCCCTCAGCGGTGACAGGCAGGAGGAGGTGGTGGCTTGGTGAGGCACCGCATGGGCGCTGAAGGGGAGGTCAGGGAGCAGAGGATGATTCTGGCCCGCTGTCCCTCTCCCCCCCCCCTCCCCCCTCCCCCCGTCCTCCTGCAAGCGCCCCTCCCTGACGGATCTGCTGGGACCTGGTGTCGTTAGGGCTGAAGCTGAGACAGCTGACTGCCTCCTGCCCAGGGCTGTGAGTCTCCCCCTGCCCCCCTCGCCAGACCCTCAGGTTGGGGGAGGATTCCCAGGAGCCTGGGTCTTCCTGTGACACTCTGGGCCTCAGCGTCCTCACCCCCGAGACAGGGACTATGACCCCAGCCCACCCCCAGCTTATCAGAGCTGGCCTGTCACAGAGGAGTCCTACCTCTTATTATTGATGTGATTAAGAGGCCACTGCTCAGCAATTTTCACATTTTGCTTGGTCTTCGGAGCCGGTCTAAAGCAAGGAGGCCTGGCATGTGCTGAGGGCGAGGGCTGCAGGGCAGGGGTGGGGGTCCCCGAGGCGCTGGCAGGGAAGCTCCTGGGCCTCATGTTGAATACTCCTCTCAGAGCTCCCCCTTCTCCCTTCTGCTTAAGAAAGTGCAAGAGGCCACGGGGAATGAGAGGAAGGCTTTAAATCTACCCACATGTGCGGAGAGAGAAAACTGCCTCCCAGCCTCTGGACGGGATCCCTGGGTAGGAGCTGACACACTCGAGGTTCTCAGTAGATGGGAGATGGGGTGGCCAGGGGCAACCTGGCTGTAAGGTGACATTGAGAGAGGACCCAAGCGGGAAGAAGGGGCCTGGGCAGAGCATCAGGCTGGGGGATGGCATGTGCCAAAGTCCTGTGGCTGCGAAGGTCTTGACTTTCTCAGCAGTGGAAAAACGAGGCCAGAGAAGCAGCAGGGTGGATGGGGTGGGGGGAGAGGGGAGGCAGGGAGAGGCACGGAGGGCCCGAAGACCATGGAAGCAGCTGGATTTTCCTGCAAATGCACTGGGAATCTGTGCAGGGTTCTCATTTGGAAAGGGCTGTGATGGATTTGTATTTGGAGAAAACGGCCCTAGCTGCCATGGGGAGCCTGGGCCCCGAGGGGCAGGAGAGCAGGATGGAAACTGTTTCGGGGTGTTGGAGGAAATGGTGGAAGTAGGAACCGGGTCAGATACATATTTGTATAACTGGGTGCCTCCGAGCCAGAAGTGATCCGTCCCTGGCCACGAGGGACCCAGCCTCCACCATCTGGGATTGAGGCCGCCAGCAGCTTGTGTCCAGGGGCCGGCCTCTCTGCCTCCACCTTGGTTTCTATTTGTGCTCAGGAGGTTGACCAGGACCTAGAAGTGGCCGAGGAGGTGGTGTTGGCAGCAGAACCTGGCATAGGGGCCAAGGCTGAGGCCCAGGTGTCCTTGGAGGCTCAGCCTCAGCCCTTGCTGGCCACGACCAGCGTGAGAAGAGACAGTGTGGGCGTGGAGCTGGTGGTACTGACTGACGACCTGCTGCCTGTCGTGGACCAGCAGCAGGTGCTTGCCCGGTAAGTGCTGGGGTGTGGGGCTGGTGGGACCCCGTGGCAGGGCAGGAAGGGGCTACGCCCCAGACATGGGGATGAGAGTCACTGAGCCTCCACTCTGCCCCCTGCCCCCTCACCTGATGAGGCTGAGGAGGCCTGATCCTCTCTCTAGGAGCAAGGGGTGGGGATGGTGCTATCAGCCGGGCAGGCAGTGCTCTGCTTGGGGAACTGTACAGGGGCCACCAGACTCCCTCAGGCACCTGCTGGGGAGCAGCTGCTCCAGGAGAAAGGGGAGGGACTGTTGCCTGCCTGGCATTTGCAGGAATCCCACGGTGGCATGATGCAGGTTTTCCTCGGCTCCCAGCGAGCCTCCGGTGCCCTCCTGATGTGAGACCTGCTCACCCTAGGGGCAAGCCACCCTGATCAGCCTCAGAGGCTGCCCGCCCGGGGCACTCTGTGCCAGCCACTTAACATTTCTGAGTGTTGGTTCTCACTTCTGGAAATGAGAATAACGTCAGGCTCACCCCCGTGACAATCAGCCCCACGGCCAGTGGGTCAGCTTCCTCCTAGCGGTGGCAAACTCAGTCCCACCGTCCACGGTGCAAACGTGAACTGAGCAGGGGCTGCGTGCTGGGAACCAGGAAGCAAGGGTGAATGAGCTGCCACCTTGGCCTTCAGGGGGCCCATGGTCCAGGGGGAGGCAGCTAGCCAGGCCCACAGAGGGCCTGCTTCTGCCGTGTGAGAAGCCAGTCGGTTGTGCAGTCGACTGTCTGGGCTCCCATTCGCCTCCACCACTACCTACCTCTATGACCTGGACCAACTTTTAAACCTCCCTGCGCCTCAGCTTCTCATCTACAAAATGGGTGATAATAAGAGCTCCAGTTTGAGAAGCTCATCGTGAGGGTCAAATGAGACCACACCTGCCGAGCATCAGGCCCCGAGAGAACTCTGCGCACGTGGCCGTGTTCAGGGTGTGGTCTGGAGTATGGTCAGGGAAGGCTTCACAGAAGCCTTCATTTTCCGTTTCTGAGAGTAGCTTTGCTTAGCTCCACCTGCATGAGGTTTGCAGGCCAGATGCCTCAGGGTGGCATCCAGATACAGGGTGGCACAGAAGTGCAGTGCAGGGGAACAGCCTGGCTGTTTGGAGAGCACGCAGCTAGGAGAGCTGGAGCGAGCTCGGTGGGGGCTGCAGAGGGAGATGATGAAGCACCAGGCCCCAGTGCACCGAATATTGCTCACAGCCCAGGATGCTCTGCTCATGCAGGGTGCCGGGGAGCACGGCCGCCAGCCTGCTGCGCTGTGGGGACCGTGGGCTCCCGGAGGCCTGGGGCGGGTGGCGGGTGGGTCAGCTCTGGTCCGTGGGGA